CCTACCCTTACCACCTGGGGGCGGCCCGTCAGGAAGACCAGCATCTAGTTGCAGAGGGAGGTGTTTAGGCCCAGAGATTTTGCTCGCCTGAGGTAGAGTATCTCATGATAAGCTGTAGACCACACTATTTACCAAGATATCTATATTTTTCGTAGCTGTCTATTTACCACCACAAACCGATGCTGGCACTAAGATTGCACTCAATGAACTGTATAAGGCCATAAGCAAACAGGAAAACGCTCATCCAGAGGCAGCGCTCCTAGTGGCCGGGGACTTTAATGCAGGGAAACTAAAATCTGTTCTTCCTAATTTTTACCAGCATGTAAGATTTGCAACCAGAGGAAAAAAAACTCTAGACCACCTTTACTCCACACACAGAGACGTGTACAAAGCTCTCCCTTGCCCTCCATTTGGCAAATCTGACCATAATTCTATCCTCCTGATTCCTGCTTATAAGCAAAAACTAAAGCAGGAAGCACCAGTGACTCGGTTAATAAGGAAGTGGTCAGATGACTCAGATGTTAAGCTACAGGACTGTTTTGCTAGCACAGACTGGAATATCTTCCAGGATTCTTCCGATGGCATTGAGGAGTACACCACATCAGTCACTGGCTTCATCAATAAAAGCATTGATGACGTCGTCCCCACAGTGACCGTACGTACATACTCCAACCAGAAGCCATGGATTACAGGCAACATCCGCAATGAGCTAAAGGGTAGAGCTGCCGCTTTCAAGGAGCGGGATTCTAACCCTTATGCTTACAAGAAATCCCGCTATGCCTTCCGACGAACCATCAAACTGGCAAAGCGTCAATACAGGACTAAGACTGAATCCTACTACACCGGCTCCAACGCTCGTCGGATGTGGCAGGGCTTGCAAACTATTACGGACTACAAAGGGAAGCACAGCCGCGAGCTGCCCAGTGACATGCGCCTACCAGACTAGCTAAATTACTTCTATGCTCGATTCGAGGCAAGCAACACTGAAGCATGCATTAGAGCATCAGCTGTTCCGGACGACTGTGTGATCACGCTCTCCGTAGCTGATGTGAGTAAGACCTTTAAACAGGTCAATATTCACAAGGCCGCAGGACCAGACGGATTTCCAGGACGTATACTCTGAGCATGCGCTTACCAACTGGCAAGTGTCTTCACTGACATTTTCAACCTGTCCCTGACTGAGTCTCTAATACCAACATGTTTCAAGCAGACCACCATAGTCCCTGTGCCCAAGAACATTAAGGTAACCTGCCTAAATGACTACCAGCCCATAGCACTCACATCTGTAGCCATGAAGTGCTTTGAAAGGCTGGTCATGGCTCACATCAACACCATTATCCCAGAAACCCTAGACCAACTCCACTTTGCATCCCGCCCCAACAGATCCACAGATGATGAAATCTCTATTGCACTCCACACTGCCCTTTCCCACCTGGACAAAAGGAACACCTACGTGAGAATGCTATTCATTGACTACAGCTCAGCGTTCAACACCATAGTGCCGTCAAAGCTCATCACTAAGCTAAGGACCCTGGGACTAAACACCTCCCTCTGCAACTGGATCCTGGACTTCCTGACTGGCCACCCTCAGGTGGTAAGGGTAGGTAACAACACATCTGCCACGCTGATCCTCAACACGGGGGCCCCCTCAGGGGTGCGTGCTCAGTCCCCTCCTGTACTCCCTGTTCACCCATGACTGCATGGCCAGGCACGACTCCAACACCATCATTAAAAGTTTGCCGACGACACAACAGTGGTAGGCCTGATCACCGACAACGATGAGACAGCCTATAGGGAGGAGGTCAGAGACCTGGCCGTGTGGTGCCAGGACAACAACCTCTCCCTCAACGTGATGAAGACAAGGAGATAATTGTGGACTACAGGAAAGAAAAGAGGACTGAGCACACCCCCATTCTCATCGACAGGGCTGTAGTGGAACAGGTTGAGAGCTTCAAGTTCCTTGGTGTCCACATCACCAACAAACTATCATGGTCCAAACACACCAAGACAGTCGTGAAGAGGGTACGACAAAGCCTATTCCCCCTCTGGAGACTGAAAAGATTTGGCATGGGTCCTCAGATCCTCATAAAGTTATACAGCTGCACCATCGAGAGCACCCTGACTGGTTGCATCACCGCCTGGTATGGCAACTGCTCGGCCTCCGACCGCAAGGCACTACAGAGGGTAGTGCGTATGGCCCAGTACATCACTGGGACCAAGCTTCCTGCCATCCAGGACCTCTGTACCAGGCGGTGTCAGAGGAAGGCCCTAAAAATTGTCAAAGACTCCAGCCACTCTAGTCATAGACTGTTCTCTCTGCTACCGCACGGCAAGCGGTACCGGAGCGCCAAGTCTAGGTCCAAAAGGCTTCTTAACAGCTTCTACCTCCAAGCCATAAGACTCCTGAACAGCTAATCATGGCTACTCTGACTATTTGCATAGTCACTAGAACTCTACCCACATGTGCATATTACCTCAATTACCTCGACTAACCTGTGCCCCGCACATTGACTCTTTACCGGTACCCACATAGCCTCCCTACTGTTATTTTATTTTACTGCTGCTCTTTGTATTTTTTACTTAATTTTTACTTAAAACTGCATTGTTGGTTAAGGGCTTGTAAGTAAGCATTTCACTGTAAGGTCTACACAGTGGTGTAAAGTACTTAAGTAAAAATTATTTAAAGTACTACTTAAGTAGTTTTTTGGGGTATCTGTACTTTACTTTACTATTTATATTTTTGACAAGTTTTACTTTTATTTCACTACATTCCTAAAGAAAATAATGTACTTTTTACTCCATACATTTTCCCTGACAACCAAAAGTACTCGTTACATTTTGAATGATTAGCTATTCTCGCACTTATCAAGAGAACACCCCTGGTCATCCCTTATGCCTCTGATCTGACGGACTCATTAAACACACATGGTTTGTTTGTAAATTATGTCTGAGTGTTGGAGTGGGCCCCTTGCTAAAAAACAAGAAACTGGTGCAGTCTGGTTTTCTTAATGTAAGGAATTTGAAAATATTTATACTTTCACTTTTGATACTTAAGTATATTTTAGCAATTACATTAATTTTTTATACTAAAGTACATTTAAAACCAAATACTTTTAGACTTTTACTCAAGTAGTGTTTTACTGGGTGACTTTCACTTTTACTTGAGTCATTTTCTATTAAGGTATCTTTAAGTATGACAATTGGGTACTTTTTCCACCACTGGGTCTACACCTGTTGTATTCGGCGCATGTGGCAAATAATAATATGAAAAATATAATTTGATTTGATTTGACCTACTTGAACAAAATATACCAGGCTGCTTATTTTGTGCAGGCTAGTAGGCTTACAAAGTCACCCATCCTATCTCCTTGGTCCATGGTCAAGGGCATGCACTCAGGCTATGTGCCTGTGCGGGGCAGTATTCTTTTATTTTCTGATCTAATTTGTAAGTGAAGAGACTACATCTTGAATTTCAACTACATATCCCAGAACTGTTTTTTTTTTTTACCCGTTGCAGGTGGCGGGGTGGAAAACATGTCGTCATTGCGCAGATTCAGTTTGAACGAAAAGCGGAGTGACCTTCCTCTGGTATCAGTACAGTAGCTACAGTAGAGGGGCGGTAGTAGCTACTGAAGCAATAAACCGAACCGGTGACAGCACACCAGTTCCCTGCACTAGCCTAGAAATGAACAGCAACTTAGCCGGAGATGAAGTTGGGTAAGATGTGATCTCCATCTAATTAATGACAATTAGTTAAATAGCTATATACATTTTAACTTTAATTATAACTGTGGTAGATCTCACCCGCATCACCACTTTTACTCAGCTAGCTACAGTAGTTAGAGTTTTGTTAAGTACTGGTAGCTAGCTAACGTTAGCTAGATAGTAAGCGAACGTTATTTGACTTTAGCCTAGCTACTACTAGCTAATAATTTGGAAACGCATGACATTGGTTTAGGTAACTATTGTAAAAGTAATGTTTAAATTGTGTCATTTAATAATTAATTGAAATACTCAACTATTTAGCTAACTAGAAACTGAAACGAGTCAGCGGCTACAAAGTTAGCGGCTAACTATCAAGCTACTGTATTTAGCTAACGTTAGCTATTGTGTGGAAAAAATCAGGGGTCGAAGCTTTGCTATCTTCATGTTCACGTTAGTTGTAGCCAATGTAATTTATTTTGAGTGTGATGGTACAAGTTTGATTGAAGTTGACATAACAGACTTCCCCCAAAAAACATTAGACCCAACTAGCTAGCTAGCTAACGTCTTCAATTGTAGCTGGTTGCTGGCGCGAGTTTTATTGCGCTGTTTCTCACTCTTGATGAACTGAAATAGAGGACTCTTTCAGGACATTTAGCGGGCATTAGATTGAGAGGATTTGGATAATGTTGGTTTGATCTATCTAAATTATCCATACGAAATTATAGTTGAGACTATGGTATCTTGCCTAGTTTTGACTGTCGGCATACAGCTGATAAGAGTAATTCATGTCAAATATGTAGTTAGTTAACGTTAGTTAGCCTAGATAGCTGTGTAGTTAGTTAACGCTATTTCAAGCTCCAGGGATCATGTATTTTAGCTAGCTAGCTAACGCCTCTCTTGCATGGCTTATCTTAGCCTGCCCTGGATAAGTCGCAGGAGGAATAAAACAATTTGACCTGAAGTGTTGTCGGGGCTAAACAAGTCACCCTCAATATTCCAGCCTTTTAATAGAAAGTATCTAGGGTTCATAGCTATGCATAATGAGCCACGTTTAGGACTAACATTAGGACGTTTTGTGTTGATACGCATCATCAGCTGCTTACAGAAACACACCCGCTCAAATACAACTCAAGCTATTGTAAGGTAACATTAAAATGATAGCTATGTGGCACAGTCACTTAACTAACAGTCACATTCTAACGCCTCAAAACCATTTGAGAATGGTTTATTGTGTCCAAAGAATGATGGACTATCAAGTGTCCTCAAAGGACTACTTTATTTTTTCGTTTTATAGAAAACTGTTTGTGGGTGGCTTGGACTGGAGTACAACACAGGGTGAGTCAGCTGTCTACTTACCAACCTGTCAATATTAGGTGTATTGCAATGCACATAGTGTTGTGCTTGAACTTGAAGGTGTCTGCATGGAAATGTTGTTCTGGAGTACAAAAGGGTTGCATGTTATCGTGTATTTTAGTTAAAGCACACATGCAAGCTTTTCTCATAATTGCTCAGACCTAGTAGCTTTGTCTGTAGCCACAGGCATTCAGAGCCCATCTCTGTATCATGCTTGATTAGACAGTGTGTGTCTTTGCTCCACGCTCTTCACTCTGACAGTGTTTTCTGAAGTTATGAGCAGTAGCCACAGTACTATGTATTTCTGTGCATTCGTCTTTGGGATTACCTTGGGGCTTTCAATGAAAAGCAATTCTACAATTCAATGTGATTGATATGACTCTTAATTGTTGAAACCTCTATGCCCTGCCTCTGAAGATGCATGCATGTAATGTAAATGTATTATTCATGCTTTGCATCCAGTGAACTTTTAAACACATTACCCATAATGTCAGGACACTAGGCTATGTATATATCCCTGAAGGATTCTTTAACGGGATCGTCCGACTAATGTCAATGTCCTCTTTTCTATCAGAAACTTTGAGAAACTATTTCTCGCAGTATGGGGAAGTAGTTGATTGTGTCATCATGAAGGACAAAACCACAAATCAGTCGCGGGGCTTTGGTTTTGTCAAATTCAAAGACCCCAACTGTGTCCGGACTGTACTGGAGACCAAACCCCATAATCTCGATGGCAGAAATGTGAGTATGTGAAATATGTGTCTTTCCAATGATGCCTTTTGTAAAGTGTGAGATGAGGAATAAGCACTGCATGGGAATGTGGACTTTTTTTTCAGTAAAGTATTACACAGCGATAATGATAGTCTGTGCAAGAGCAAGTAATAGTGAACCCATAGCACACACTGGGATCTTCAGAAAACAAAAGACTGGCTCTCTGAAGGACATCCCTGGACTGTTCTGATGAGCTATATGTAAAGCAGACTGATTGTTTGCCAAACAAGTGTTGCCTGTTCAGATGCTTAATAGTTGAACTAACATGTAACAGATAATTAACTGCAGAGAGTGCGTTTTCTATGCAGCAATATGAACATGACCATTTTGCGATAATGAAGGTTATTTTCTTGCAGTTAAACTGTGATTTATTGTAAAGTGAATTGTATTGCACATAATTAATTTATTCCATTTGTATGTGGCCTTATTGAGTAGGCTAATTCACCAGATAAATTGGAGGGAACATTTGAAGGTGCTTTTTCATTGAAGGCTGAGATGTACAATTTCATCCTTTGCCTTCAGATTGACCCCAAGCCATGTACTCCCAGAGGAATGCAACCAGAAAAAGTACGAACTAAGGACGGCTGGGTAAGGAGCGTATTTCATTTCGTAGAGGCTACATACTGTATGTCCTCTACAGAAATAGGGCACCAAGCCTGGGTAGAATGGAATGAATTGTATCCTTTTTGTCCTTTGATAAGCTTGGGTCCTATCTGCCTCTAGAAATCGCATCTGTCACACTGAGGCTTATTGCTGTTAACATGACTTCTGCTAAGGAGCTTAAAATGTAATTTTTCCAAGTAATTGTTAGGCTAAGTGATTCTGTAAAAATGAATTACTCTGCGATCCTGAAATAGCTTGTCTCAGTAACGCTGAAACGAAGGCACTAGTGCACCCTGATCTGTGTGGACTAGTGTTTGCATCGACGTGACATTTGTACCCCAGGGCAGAAGGAGAGAGAAGCTAATTTCTTCTCGACTGGCTAGATGATGGCGAATTGCCACGTCTTCAGTGTGATTCTCAATCTGGCTTTGAGATCCCATTCTTTGTTTCAGAAGGGCAGCAAAGCTGACAGCAATAAATCAAAGAAGATATTTGTCGGTGGAATCCCCCATAACTGTGGTGAACCTGAACTCCGGGACTATTTCAATAGATTTGGAGTGGTGAGTCCTGTTAAGATGGTGTATACTGTATTGTATAGCTTTTTATATATATTTTTTATACCTAAAACATTTACCAGGATCCAATATAGGAACTGCTTATTGGAAGACCACATGAAAAATAGATTTTTCTGTTAAAATGCCATTAATATGGGGATACAGAATGTGTCAGTGTCCCAACCATAGAGATCCTATTAAATTAGTATTCTAATTCCTAATTCTATGTTTCCAACTGAGAGATGCATGCTATGGCAATACTAGTGGTTCTTATCTGAATCCTAATGCAGCCCATGTTCTCCTTTGTTTAATCCAAGGTCACAGAGGTGGTAATGATCTATGACGCGGAGAAACAGAGGCCCCGAGGTAAAAGCTGATCCCGTTTTTCTCTTCCATACCTCCCATCTCTAAATCTCATGACAAACTATTCTGACCCAAATAGGATAAGACATTCATTCCCCCCTCCCCCCACCCACCCTCAATTCTAACTAGAGCCCCTGTCTTGTGGTGGAACATCTTTTTCATCGTTCATTCACAAGCTTTTTAATGGATACCACTCTTAATCACTGAACTTTCCCCATGCAGACCTGTTTACATGGTGAGAAAGTTGAATGACATCTGCATTAATTTCAGACATCTTCCCTTGACTTTGTGTGACAGAATCAGCTTCTGATGCATAAAGGCTGCATTTACACAGGTAGCCTAATTCTGATCTTTTGCCCAATTATTGGCAAAAGAGCCGATCTGATTGGTCAAAAGACCAAAGGTGGAAAGAATATAAGAATTTGGCTGCCTTTGTAGACGCAGCCCTTAGACGTTTTAGTTCAATTAGGAACATGTTAACATGCTATAGTAATACATGTAGTTTGAAATAAGCTTATTGAGAAGAAGGTTATTGTTTTTAGTTGTATTATTCAGGATGCATGAATAGATTTTGGGTCTAATTTCAAACTTTCACCATTCTTTGACAAAAGTGCTAACATTCCTCGTTTAGTTTGACTTAAATTTTGAAATAGCAGAGCTTCACCAGTGTAGTGATAGAAAATTAGGACAGTTACCAGATGGGGTTTCGCGAAACTACCTCTGTAACTTCCTTCATACTGGACACAGAGACATAACATTTTTATCCACGAGTTCATCTGACTCTGGGAAGTAGATTTAGGGTCTCATTGCCAAAATCCCAAAGTACTTTTAATCAGGGGTGTTAAACTCATTCCATGGAGGGCAGAGTGTCTGCAGGTTTTTAGTTTTTCCTTTCAATTAAGAGAGACAACCAGGTGAGGGGAGTTCTTTATTAATTAGTGACCTTAATTTCAATATCAATCAAGTACAAGGGTGGAGCGAAAACCCACAGACACTCGGCCCTCCGTGGAATGAGTTTGACACGTGCTTTAAGTGGAAGTCCTTACTCAGTTCCATCTGTTAAATTAGTTGACAGTTAGAATGACAAGACAAGCATGGGTTGATGTAGATTAGGCTGGTCAGTTTTCTCAGAACGGTTTAAATATACATTAGTTTGGTCTGTTTGCTCAGAGCTGTTTCTTTTGCACTTGTCCTACATAGCCATGATGCAGTGGTCATGAATGACTCCCATGATTTATTCCCCCTCTTCTCCTTCAGTATCCATTGATCTCTTTGGGGAGAACAAACAGAATAGTTTGTCATCTGAATTTACACGATGATACACATCAATAATCAAGGATAATATCCAGGCTATTCTTATACTAAAATACTTTTAAAAATCCGGCATTGAACTAAGTTTTTTTTCAGTTTAATTTAGACATGTCTGATATATATAAAAAATGATGAAGTGTTTTCCCGTATGTAGAAAGTTAAGTATTTTTGTAAGTAAGCCCTTTCTATTTTTCTTTTTCTCTCCTCCTTCTTGTGAATGGTTTTAATGTGATTAATGGTGTCTCTTAAGATTTGTCTTTTCTCCTTTAGGTTATTGTGTACTGAGTGGTATCACAGAGGTACAGGCCAGATGTAAAATCCCCAAATGGAATGTGCAGGCTGTCAATTTGGGGTGTATACAAAGTTTAGAATCATCATGGTTATGAACTGAGTTTTGCTGCGCTGAGCAGGACCTTGGATTTTTTACACTTTTTTTGGCGAAAAATTGTCTAGGAATGTTTGCGGCTTTCAGTTTGCAGCAAATGTTCAACTTGAATGTTACCAATATGTCTCTAAATGCTTGAAAATGCTTAAACTAAGTTTTGAATCTAGATTAAGGACAGGTCATCGATGGATGGTATTTATAGTTGTAGATCAGGCGGCTTGGGAATGCTTGACATGATATTAGAGGTTTCAAAATCTATTTTGTCTCAAAGGACATTGAATTGGAATCAGGTTAGGCCCCTCAGTGGATATGTTCTCACAACCCAATTCTGCCACTGGTAGAAATGTATGAACAATAAACTGGTTCAGTGCAGTGTGCTATTGCTACTGCATACTCTGAAAAGTTTTTTAGAGCCTTGGATGTGAAATCACCATAGACCTTATCAGAACCAGGACATTTGCCAATGTTTGGCTTCTAAATGTACAGTTGAATCAAAGATGGTATGGCTATGCTAAATTACAGTGCTGTATATCCATAGGTTCAGCTAGAGTTCTTTTTATATCATGCAGGGACTGTAGTCATTGGGCTTAAAGAGTGTGAGAATAACCTACCAGAGGATTCACCGTCAATCGTTTATCAATAGTTTTGTTAATTTACTACTTCATTTCAGTGTTTTTGTTTTATACAGAAAGTGTTGAATCCTTACACAGTGGGGTTTTTCTCAGTGTTTTGATGGAACTTTGTTTATCCCCCATGTAAACTCTTGACAGCATCATTAGTTGTTACTTACACATTCGGAAGACAAAATGGCCTATATCTTTGTGTTGCTGTTGTAAGTAATATTGTAATTTTCCATTTAGGCTTATCCTGGCTGACTCAAAACATAAAACCAAATTTGGGAATGCTTGGAGAAATCTTTAGACATTGTACAGTTTCTGTTTCTCCATGTTTTGTTATGCATTAACATTGGATGCTGCCAGATTGTGCTGCACAGAAATATACCACGGGGCAGATCAAGGTGGGGTTTGGATGAAACGGCATGAAGTCACATCAATACAACTGGTCAAATTGGAATCCAATATAGAAATGAATGCTTCGAGACCACTCAATTGTATCTTGAAATCTATAGTTTTTATATTCCTCAGTAGTTCCACTGACTGCACTGGATATAAATATATTACAATTGTATATAAATTACATTTTCAATCCCCTATATAATACATTAATGCAGTACAAGCAAATTTTACTTAAATTGACTTTGATATGTTAGAAGTATTTAACTATTTTTTTTAAACACTGCCTAGAGTTAGCATGGAGAGGATTGGTGCAAAGTTTATCTTGGATGATAAAAGTGCCTCAGCCCCCAATCTTCAACTTGTGTATTGCTGCAAGTCAGCGATATCATCCGAACCCCAGGAGCCTCCAGCTCAATCTTGATGGATCCCTGTCTTGCTGACCCCAATACTGTTCTTCATCTTGTGTTGTCACAACACCCTGCTACCTTGATTCACTCTTGGTCGTTGGCTAGGTTTTGGATTTATTACTTTCGAGGCCGAACAATCAGTGGACCAGGCTGTCAACATGCATTTTCACGACATCATGGGCAAAAAAGTGTGTAGTTGTAGTTTTATTTTACCCTCAAGATTAAACAGAGGCTTGGGCGACGGGAAGCATTGTTTGGCGCTGTTACCTTTGGAGTTACAGCTCTTATTTCCAGGGGCCACCAATGAGGTTGGTTGCTCTTTCATGAAGGCCTAACGCTCCTGTAAATTTAATATTTTAATAACATGGCTGAAGATTACTGAAATGTGGTACTCCAAAGATTTTCCTAAAAGATCAGGGCACAATTCTTTTTCTGAACCGCAACATTTCAATGGCCTGGTTGGCCTTGTACATGTTGCAAAAAATACTTGGTCTCCCCTCTGAAATATTAGGTACAACTCCTGTAGTCGCCCAAGGCTTTGTTTATTTTGACCTCTCCTTTAGGTTGTAAAAGGTATTCCATATCGTACTTCAAATACAACACTTACTCTGGCGTTGGCGATTCAAGTGCCCAGTTTTGGAGCATATAATGCTAGATAAGCAGGGGTGAAAGTAGATTTTATTTCTTCCCGGTATGGGATCTCATATGTTTGCACGCGATTACGTGGGCCTGATCATAGAATTACATATAGAATCCCTATTAATTTAATTGGAGCTTTGTGGGCCCAGTAGTAAAGATTTGTCATGTATTACCTTTTCATGTGGCATAAACAACCAGTCATGATGTTTTCCATCTGATTGTCAAATGCATGCTAGCTGTTCCTGTAGACTTCCAGTCATTGTGCTAACGCTAGTTAGCGTTGGCTCGCAAAACCACCTCTACCTTCATACCGGACGCAGATACAGTGGGATCCAAAATATATTGTAACAATTGTTTTATACTAATCGTTGCTCAGAGAAAGATTTTGTTTAACAATATTTTTTTCTCAAAAAGGTAGGTGTAAAAATTGACACCCCTGTTTTCAATACCATTCAATACTTCACCTTCCGAGGATAACGCCACTGAGCCTTTTTCTAAAATGTTTTATGAGTTGGAGAACACATTGGCAGGGCTCTCCAACATACAGAATCCTTCCAGATCCTTGATGTTCTTCGTCTGCGCTTATGGACTGCCCTCTTCAATTCAAACCACAGGTTTTCATTATGTTTCAAGTCCGGAGACTGAGATGGCTATTGCAAAATTGTGTGGATTTTGATGTGTGCTTTGAGTTATTGTCTTGCTGGAGATCCACTTGCGGCCAGGTATTTGGCTAAAATGTCCTGGTCCTCGGTAAAGTTAATGATGCCATTGACCTTAACAAGGGCTCCAGGACTTGTTTAAACAAAATATCCCCATGACATCAAAGATCCACCACCATATTTAAAGTAGGTATGGGATTCATTTCTGCTCACGCCAAACCCACCACTGGTGTGCCTGGCCAAAGAGCTCCATTTTCATGTCATCCAACAAATTAGTTTGCTAACGGCATTGGCACTTGGTGGAGGATCTTTGATGTTATGGGGCTATTTTACTTCCACTGGTCCTGGGGCCCTTGTTAAGGTCAAAGGCATCATGAACTTTACCCAGTACCAGGACATTTTATCCCAAAACCTGAATGCCTCTGGCAGGAGGCTGAAACTTGTCCGCAAGTGGATCTTCCAGCAAGACAATAACCCCAAGCACACATCAAAATTCACGAAGAAATTGTTAATTGGCCACAAAATCAACATTTTGCAATGGCCATCTCAGTCTCCAGACTTGAAACCCATTGAAAACATGTGGTTTGAATTAAAGAGGGCAGACCATAAGGGCAGACGAAGGATATCAAGGATCTGGAAGGATTCTGTATGGAGGAATGGTCTAAGATCCCGCCCAATGTGTTCTCCAACTCATAAAACAGGCTCTGTGCTGTTATCCTCGGCAGGTGAGGTATTGAAAACATGGGTGTCAAATATTTTGACCGCTACCTTTTTGTGAGAAAAAAAGTATTACTTGTTAAACCAAATCTATTTCTCTGAGCAATTGTATTAGTATAAAATAATATAATTTCCTCAGTATTTGAATTATTTTTATAATCATTTGTGCTCATCTGTATCAAGGGTGTCAATCATTTCAGACCCCACTGTACATAAAAATAATATCCACGAGTTCATCAGACTCCGGTGAAGAAGATGACAAAGGGCCACATTGCCAAAATTCCAAACTATCCCTTTAAAACACCAGAAAGTGTAATGACATTTGGCGATTGTCATTATGCCTACACTTTACATTTGACATTTGAGTCATTTAGCAGACGCTCTTATCCAGAGCGACTTACAGTTAGTGAGTGCATACATTTTCATACTGGCCCCCCGTGGGAATCAAACCCACAACCCTGGCGTTGCAAGCGCCATGCTCTACCAACTGAGCTTCTGGGGACTTGTAGCCTGAATTGATGTGTGTACTGCTGTCCGCGCGTGTCAGTCTCGGCCAGTCATCTCTGCCTTGGAAAAATGTCAGTGTTCTCGTCGAACCACAACATTTTGGATCGTAGACCTGTATACTACCCATTTTCAAGTCCAATCGCTAATTTGTCATCCGGCTGACATGCGGTCATGATAATGTTGTAAAAGCCTACAGTTTTCTTGACATTTTGTTTTAATTATTGTGATAGGCTCATGTTTTACCGGTACGGTGTAAGTCCACTTTCTTTTGCCGGGACGTCGTACCGGACCGTACCGGCTTTCTTTCACCCCTGGAGATAAGCGTTTAGCTTGAAACGCTGTATTTTACCACAAAGAAATCACCTAAAGGATTGGTCTTGTTCAGTTCTTTTTTTCTTTTTTGATTATTTTGTTGGCAGGTCACTTACCTTTTGAACTATTTGATATATTTCCTATTCAACTTGTTAAAAAGTTAAACAACCTCAATTAAGTGACCTCAGTTTAAGAATCTCCATACTGTGTCGATCAAGTCTGAGAACCAAAATTGGTGGGTCTTTTTCAAGGGCTAGTTGGGACCTATCTATCTACACCCTCTTTGAAGGATAGTTGAAGCTGTTTGCCCGTATTCGTTCACCATTTTCTCCCAATGGAGATTTCTTAGCTCATTTGGTGCCTGAAGCCACAGTTCTGTGATACCAGCAGAGTTTTTTTTTATGCCCAGTCATTAATGATTTATAGTTTTAACAAAATACTTTAGCTTAGCTACTTCTGAGACATCCTCTCTTATAGCAATAATTATCTTGACAAAATACATAATAAAACATTTGGGAAAATGTGCATTCAATAGTCCGATCCCCCCCTAAACGAGGACATGTAACGTTTTAGTCTTTTATTGAAAGAGAACATTAATTGTCCACATGGACATTTGACTTATTTACCCATTTTTCATAGTTTAACCCTTTCTGACCTCGTTAAATGTACGAACTAAATCCATGTCTGTTCATAATTGATGTATGAGACCCTACCTACATTCTGCTATACTCTTACCGACTCTCCTTGACTTTGTCCTAATTTCCAGCAGGAATCAGGGCTCGACTTGAGATATTGTTCTTGAGTTGACATTACCTTGGGCTGGGACTTAGGGGAATAGAAGTTACAAAATTAGAAAGTGGAGCACATCAAACTGTGGGACAAATCCCAGTTCCGCTGTTGGGGAGTGTACAGAGGTCATGGTATCCATCACTCCAGCTGCGATGCCCGCGGGAGAGGACCCAGGTAGCTGCGCTATAGGCGGGGGGCCACAAACATGCTTGTAATTAGGTCGACAGAGAAGGAAGAGGGGAGCCAAAGAAAGTAGCACCACCTTAAAGCAGGGGAAGAATTGTGATTTGTTTTCCTCATGCAAGGTGACCCCAATAACTCAACCTCGATAGAGCCTAGTCTATTTCTATCTAGTCCCCCCCTAGTTTTAAACCCATTTTTCGCTCTGGTAAACTGCTGGTATCTCTGTGGCTGGCTAGCTACAGCAAGTGACGCTAATATTTTTTTAGGGCAGATAATGGCTGGTAGCCTCACAAGCCATCTGGTATGTTAAAAAGAACAGGCTTTTCAACCTTATTGAATGTTAGACCAGTCCAATACCAAGTGCTTCTATTCTGTGTGAGATGAGCAAATCAGATGGGTATTAGTCAATTAAGCACCATTGCAATTTTCTCCATTATCTGACACAGTATGAAGATTCATTTCTAAATTGACTTATGACTGTCCATTTCTATTGTCTGCATGTTTTACCTCTTATTCTGATAGATATGATACACATTCCTTTCTACATCCATTTCCCTCTGAAATTCTACTACAAGTAAAACATAACAGATTCTTTAAGCGTTAGCCCGGGAAAGGTAAGTCTTGACCTTCCATTAGATGTTTTTATAAAAATGAAAGGGCATAAAAACAGGAAATAGGTATTCTATGTTTCTCAGGTAGACCGGTTGTACTGCAGTTTTAATGACATTTTTAGCACTATTTAAATCAATTGCTATTTTATGCTCTATTCAAAATTATTAATCCAAAAATGAAGTAATACCTTATTGTGACTGAAATACTTGAGAAACATATTGTTAAGCAACTATTTATCTGTATTAGGCAGCAGTGTATTGGCTCAGATAAGATGTAAAACTGAAACCCTCTCAAGCTGATATGTTAAAGATAAATATTAGTAATGGGTGAGTTTAGATAAGGAAGGGATTTTGGAGATAAATTACTGGTCTTGCAATGTGTGCCCTCCTTGTCCTTTGTTCAGGTGGAAGTGAAAAAGGCCGAACCTCGGGACAGCAACGCTCCTGGCCAGCTTGGACCTAACCAATGGGGACCCAGAGGCATCCTGAGTGCAGCCAATGGTTGGTCGGCACAGCCTGCCCAGGGCTGGCAGCAGAGTTATGGGCCTCCGGGTGAGTGGGAGACCAGCCAGGCACAGCTCGATCTCTCAGACCAGGAACATTACATTATATTATACCTAGGAGAAAGCATTGGAAACTGTTAAAATGTCTGATGCCTTCTGTTATAACATTAACATTGTATATCTTGGTCAGCACTGAAATGTTACTTTGAGGAACGGTCAACGTACTGACAACAGTACTGTAGTTACCAATTACATATTGCAGGATTGGTTTTGTGGCAGCATAAATAAACTGTCAACTATTTTCTCTTTGAAGGAGTTTGGGTGTCTACAGGCCAGCCCTTGGGTATGTTTTATCCTTGAATCACTTGAATGTTTCAGACATCTCACTAACTTGCTTTTTTAAATAGTAAATTGTCTTGTGACAGTTAACTTATCAAGAAAGTATTGTGACATAGACATTGCCTTGCACTTTGTATTATCCATATTGACCAATTAGGTATTGTCTGTTAAGCACCAGTGTTAACATGGTGTCAGCTGTAATGGCTGAGGTCACTCTGATCATTTCCCTCTCAAGACAGATAATGGGCTTAATGATTCTTACCTCCCTTCACCCTCGCTGGTCGTGTATCATACAACCAACCCCCAAACAATCCCAGCGGTGTTCCAGTTTCATAGCTCAAGCAAGTGCTATTGTAGCTTTAATGCTAGAGTTCTAGAATGCACCACATTCATATACAAGTTGCATTTTTGTTATATTTGACACGGTTCTCCCCATGTTGAAAATATTGTCTAATATGCAGTGTCTACTGACAGTGGGTTTCAACTAAGGTATATCCGAGACTGAACATGTAGCAATACACCTGTCATTATGTATTAAAGTATATACGTATCTGTTGTGTTCTGTCTGTCTCAGGTGGGTACGGACCCCCTTTATCTGCGGGTCGTGGAGCTCCCGCCCAGCCCCCCTCACCGTTCAACGCATTCCTCGTCACAGCAACCCCGGCAGGGGGTTTTGGGGCACCTCAGGCCTATGCTCAGCAGGGATACAGCACACCACCTCAGTTTGGTCAGTAGCTACGCTGTATTGTTGTCATTTAAAAAAACTTGTTTCCATTCATGTCAATTATTTTGTTTTCATATCGTCAATATTGTGATTAACAATATTATTATGGCCCAAAATATGACTGCAGTGTTTTGCATTATTAAGAATGTCTAAACACATTTACAAATGCCTCTTCCTTAAGAAACTCTGAAATGTCAGCCCAAGTTTCAAATGCAGGCATTGATAAAAGTCGGCTAAAACAGAAAATCAGGGAAATCAGCTTTGTCTTGAAGAAATGAATAGCAGGTCTACAGCACTAGCAGTGCTGTAACACCAACAGTAACACATGGTTCTGAAATATATTTTAATGTCGTCTTCACAAGAACGTTAATAGTCTTCACAATATATTATTTTATATCGCCAATATATGATCATATCCTAATATCGCCCAACCCTACTGCCTAGTGTTGCAGCTTCTACTACAATAATCAAATGTTTTATGATTCTTTTGATTATAATAACCTATATGAGACATTAACATTTATCGTTCACAGTTCAGAATGTGCAACATAAGGACTCTTTCATCTGGCACTGGTTTAGGGTACAGTTTTGGCACGCCTCATGGTGACCAGTATGCACCACAAGGAGTGCCGCCCCCGCCCACGACTCCGGGAACAGGGCCGCTAGGGTTTGCTCCAGCCAGCACACCTACTCAGGACATGAGCAAAGCACCCACGGGACAGCCGGACTTCCCTTACAGCCAGTATGGTAAGTAAAGCCTCCATGCAGTCCTCAGCCCCACCCTCTACCCTACTGTTATTATGGCCTATACTGGATGGATCCATTTTGTTGGATGCTTTATTGGGTCAAACAACCCCTCCCTAGCCAAAGCTCATTACAACCCTCAAACAAGCAGGACCTTCCCTTTTGGTACCATTTAGCTTTAATGGCATCACATGCATACACACGCTTGCATACATACCCTCCAGGCTTGGCCTTGGAGGTGCTATAGAAGTCCCACCATACCCAGGACTCTTCAGTGTCAACTTTTTCAGCATTTTTCCAGGTAGGGCTGCGGAATGATATGGATGGGTAACCCATGGTAGGTTTGAATTAGATAATCCTGCCTCTCAATGTTGTTTTCGAGAGGAGTTTGAATGCACACCAAACTGCAGATAAACCAAGGTAGATATTTTACTGGCAAAGGTGACAGGCAGTTTGGCCAACTGTTCCCTTTTTGTTACTGACTTGGTTGGCTTTTCTCTCCTGGCATGACCTCTATGGTGTCAATGGATCTTGCATGTTTTTTTTCTCCTGAGCGTAATTGGACTGAAACCAATATTTTCCTACAAACAAATTACAGCTGTTCTGAGAAGACTCAATGCAATGCATCAGTATGCAATGTATCAGGAGTTTTCCAATTACTCTCCAATTATACTTATTGTACCAAGTTGACTACAAATAAATCCAGCATTGTCATCAATTGCGGGGCTTTTGCATAAGGTCTCTCACTCTTTAAACCAAATGCATTGGTAAATCCTTTCTTTTTGGAAGGTTAATTTATGTAGCCTAGTTAGTTCATTCTGTCTGCCCCCTCATTTCCCACTGGCATTTATCCTTAAACTAAATACAATGGGGAGACACAGACTTAGATACAATGTTTTGTTAATAGGTCTTAGAAGTGTTTAGCTCTTCAAGACAGTATACACTCAGTGGCCAGTTTATTAGGTACATGGGTCAGACCCATCTTTACCTCCAGAACAGCCCATATTCTTTTGGGCATGGATTCTACAAGGTGTGGCGTTCAAACGTTGCTCAATTGGTATCAAGGGACCTAACGTGTGCCAGGAAAACATTCCCCACACCATTACACCACCGCCACCAGTCTGTACCATTGACACCAGGCAGGATGGGGCCATGGACTCATGCTGCTTACGCCAAATCCTGACTGCCATCAGCATGGCGCATCAGGAACCGGGATCCGTCGGACCAGGATATGTTTTTCCACTCCTCAATTGTCCGGTTTTGGTGATTGTGTGCACACTGGAGCCGCTTCTTCTTGTTTTTAGCTGATAGGAGTGGATCCCGGTGTGGTCGTCTGCCGCAATAGCCCATCCGTGACAAAGACCGACGAGTTGTGTGTTCCGAGATGCCGTTCTGCACACCACTGTTGTACTGCACAGTTATTTGCCTGTTTGTGACCCACCTGTTAGCTTGCATGATTCTTGCCATTCTCCTTCGACCTCTCATCAAGGAGTTGTTTTCGCCCACAGGACTGCTGCTGACTGGATGTTTTTTTGTTTGTCGCACCATTCTCAGTAAACCCTAGACACTGTCGTGCGTGAAAAGCCCAGGGGGGGGCGGCCGCTTCTGAGATACTGCCACCGGCTCACCTGACACCGATGATCATACCACGCTCAAAGTCGCTTAGGTCACTCGTTTTGCCCAGTCTAACGTTCAATCGAACAGTAACTGAATGCCTCGATTCCTGTCTGCTTTATATAGCAAGCCACAGCCACGTGACTCACTGTCTGTAGGAGCTAACCATTTTTGTGAATGGGGTGATGTACCTAATAAATTGGTCACTGTGTATATCTATATTCTACCATAATTTCTATTTGACTATATACATTGTATATTTCCCTGTAACTGTCAGGTGTGAGATTCCCATCTTGTTCAGTGTTTCATGCTTGTGCTTTGCCTACCCATCCTGCTCTTAACCATTAGCGTCAGCCGCCTGATTTTAGAATCATTTAGTACGATAACCATAGCCACAGGCAGCAAAGTGCATTAGCAAGTAGAAACCTTTGTGTTTCTAATTCCAGATGGCTGTGCACTGATTTAGCAGGAGTCTCAGAGCAGTCAGTAGCGTAATAGGTGTTAACTTAAGCCAAGCCCCAGTGGCAGGTCTAAGAAGGGGACAATGTTAAAGTAAAGTAGACTATCTGGGTTCAGTCAACCTAGTCTCCTCGTCTCCCTGATAGGCTTGGGTAACTACCCTCAGGACCCCTCTTCCTACGGACCAACGCGTCCTTCTCACAGTAATGGTCAGGATGTGCAGGGAGGAAATAGTGCAGGTAGGTGTGAGCATCGTCTTTTCCAACCACCAAAAGTACAGTTCAGTACATGGTCATATAACTGCAACTTCGTTGTTCCCTTGCATTATTTTCCCCTGTATGTACTTTGGTATGTTTGTGCATACAAAGTACATACTCCTAGACCAGTGGTATTCACACTTTTTCAGTGGGGACCCCATTCTTTCCCCAAGAATTTCTCACGAACCCACCCCCAAATCTAATGACACAGCCTTAAAATTGGTAAATTCCTATTTTTACATCAACAAATAACCTTAAATTCATTGCATTTTAATCTCTTATGAAAATAAACCAATAAATACATTTACTCAGTGAAATGTTATTCTTCTAATTCTTTCTCAAAAACGTTTGTATATTGTCCCATACAATAATCTGTACTCATTCATTTTTTGTTACCCATCTACCCCGACTTCGAATACCACTGTTCTAGAATATACTAAAATACAGCTACATTATTCAATGACTTGAGGTTATGAGATCTTTTTGAATGTCCATATCTCAAGGTATGAATAGTCTTAACAGGGTTACACGTCTCATTTCCTGTAGTAGCTGTAGTTTATTATACCAACAACACCTGCGTCCTCAGTTGGTCCACTCTCTCTGCATTGCTTTGCTGGTTAAAGGGGGATGATGTAATTGGCTAAATGTGTTCATGGTATACTGTGTTCAACTAGTTTTTTTGTTTTGTTTTTTTGCTCTGTTATTCAATGTGATGGCAGTCAATTCACTTGTTGTTTTTCCATATGCCATCTCCTTATGACAGCTAAAATAATGATAATCTAAGGGACGTTTGCATGAAGAAAAAATCACTTCTATCTGGTGAACGTATACCCAATTTCTATTAGATTTCTGTGGTCATGTTAGCCCTTTGCTCATTGCTCTTCTTAATTATTTATTCTAGCCTTGGAGCACTTTGAGCACCTCGTGGGAAAGTTTGCTTGTATTCTTCTACCATTTCTATTGTTTCATTTCTTTTTTTGTTACTCTGTACTGTCCGACATGAGTTGGAACTGTTCAGACTTGTCTTCACTGAATGTCTATGCAGTTCCCTGCTTCTCCGACTACAGTGGATTGCAGGGAGATGGTGCCATCCAGTGTCTATGAAAAAAAAAAAAACTGATAACTGATTTAAGTATTTGTTATACTGTTTTCCTTTTGTTGATGCCTTTCACAAGAGTTCAGATTACATCTTTGAATCCTCTAAATTATAAATCAATTGATTTACACTGGAAGTGCTCATTCCTAATTGGCTAACCAAACTCTGAATGGAAGTTCATGTAGGCTCACAATAAGGAATACAATATTTAACATGAACATTAAAAAGCCCTGAAACTATGATCAATGTATTTATTTTAGGTAAAATAAGGGACTTTCACTTAGCTGGTTGGAATCGGTTTGTTAAAAAGCACCATCTACAATCCTGATAATGAACTTCGCTTCCCTGTTCTCCACCTACCCACCCTCACAGGTTATGGTCAGGACCTGAGTGGGTTTGGCCATACTTTCGCAGACCCCAGCCAGCAGACTGCCTCTTACGGGGCACCAACAGCACAACCGGCAGCGGGACCCCAGCCTACAGCAGCCGCTTTTGCTCGAGTACAGAATCACAACGTAACGGGCTTCCATCCATACCGGCGCTGAGCATCTCCAACCGCCACAGCGCTCAGTTCTAAAGTCAGGGAAATGTGTTCTGGTGATAAGCAAAACTGGATTCTAGATTGATGTTTTTTGGAACACAGATACACACTATTTGAGAAAAAGTGAACTCATAAAACCAGGGATTCCAATTACTTCTGTTACAATGTCACTTGATGTAAAAGTTGATGTAAGACTTTTGCATAACCTTCCTTTTCAAATGTTGAAATGAAAGAACCGTTGTTTCTCCCCCCCATGTTTTATAGTAGGACTTAACTACTTTGCAATAGGTTTTGATTTTCTGGTCAAACAATAGCACAGAGAATGGAACATTAATAATAAATAAAATAAAATATATTAGGGATATGTATATTTATGCTGGATACAGAAATGAAAACAGGGTCTCAAGTTTCCTCAGCTTTAAATTCTAGGGAAAATGTTTTTATTTTTCATTTGGAGGATTTTGTTTACTTTCTGAGCCTTTATTTTAAAGTTTGTTTAAAATGGAAAATATGAATATATATTATACACAAACTGTGCAATTTTTTAAGACAATTTTGTACTAAAAATGTACACTTTGCTTGTTTTTTATTTAAAGATGTAGACTTCCCTCAGGTGGCTGTTTGGGTGCATTTTGCACTTATGCAAAAAGAAAGGAAAACTTATTTCAAATAAAAGATATCCTGCATCTTGGCCATCAATGCTTCAACTTAAGTGTCACTAAATAAGTTTGAGTATAACTACTAGATATTGTTTAAGACTACTGTATTCTTGCACCAACTCAGTGGCCTTGTGGTTAGTGTCTCCGCCCTGACATTGGAAGGTTGTGAGTTTGATCCCCGGCTGAGTCATACCAAAGACTGTAAAAATGGGACCTGATGCATCTCTGCTTGGCACTTAGGCTCCTGCCCTATGAGTGTAGTACAGGTACAGAAGGGCATGAGTAAGTAGCCTTGGCTTAAGACTCATGCAAGGCTACTTACTCATGCACTACCGTACCTGTACTACACTGAATTACTAAAATTGTATATTTTTTTTTTAGATAAAGACTGCTTATTGTTAAAGTTGTACAAATTACTTAACTCTCATTTTATCCTAAAACCTTACAATGTGATGCATTTAAACTGCTTAGTCCTCTGTGGAAGTGAATGATTTGGACAGACAATCATCAGTAGATGGTGTACTAGTGCTAAAAATGATCTAGTATCAGCATTTACTGTATGTTGTTTGGTATAAGCTTGGATTGAATACCATGTTGCTTACACCTATCCAATTATTTTGTATTTACATGAATCATCAAGGTGGGGGGGGGAGGATTGTGTTGTTTCTGGACAGGGCCACAGTCTCTGGGCAAAAACATCCATGGTAATTTTCAAGGGTTAAATACAGTGGAATTATAATCATGGACCAGGATTCCCTTACTATATCAACAAAAACCTGAATATTTTGTCAAACCCAAACAGGTCGGACCCCCTAGATTATGAAGAAATACATTTGCGTACATATAAACACTGAACATGTCAATGGTTTTCTTTCCCAAGGCAATGCCAATAGGCTTTAGCTCAGCGGGCTAACAATTCTGCATTGTGCAGACAACACATTTTCAAACCCAGTTGGTCTCACATGCCTACACCATGGAATAGACATTGTGAAAGATTATTTAGCACATTATCATTAGCCTACCTACATTATCATGGCACAACTTTTGGGTGACTTTTTTTCTCTAAGATATTCAAAGGGCAGTTTTTCCAAGGGTGCTTCAGTTCCAGCTTTGGAATTTTTGGTTTGGTTGTAAAATCTATACTGAAAAATAAATGCAACATGCAACAATTTCAAAGATTTTACGGAATTACAGTTCATGTAAGGAAATCAGTCAATTGAAATAAATGAATTAGTCCCTAATATATGGATTTCACATGACTGGGAATACAGATATGCATCTGTTGGTCACAGCTACCTTAAAAAGCCTGTGGAATGTTGTCCCACTCTTATTCAATGTGTGTGCGAAGTTGCTGGATATTGGCGGGAACTGGAACATGCTGTTGTACACGTCGATCCAGAGCATCCCAAACATGCTCAATGGGTGACATGTCTGTTGAGTATGCAGGCCGTGGAAGAACTGGGACATTTCAGCTTCCAGGAATTGTGTACAGATCCTTGCGACATGGGGCCGTGCATTATCATGCTGAAACATGAGGTGATGGCGGCGGATGAATGGCACAACAGTAGGCCTCAGGATCTTGTCACGGTATCTCTGTGCATTCAAATTGCCATTGTTCATTGTCCGTAGCTTATGCCTGCCCATACCATAACCCCACCGCCACTATGAGGCACTGTTCACAACGCAAACCACTCGCCCATATGACGCCATACACGTCTGCAGTTGTGAGGCCGGTTGGACGTGCTGACAAATTCTCTAAGACGACGTTGGAGGCGGCTTATGGTAGAGAAATTAACATTAAATTCTCTGGCAACAGTTCTGGTGGACATTCCTGCAGTCAGCATGGCAATTGCACGCACCCTCAACACTTGAGACATCTGTGGCATTATGTGACGAAACTGCACATTTTACAGTGGTCTTTTATTGTTCCCAGCACAAGGTGCACCTGTGTAATGATCATGCTGTTTAATCAACTTCTTGATATGCCACACCTGTCAGGTGGATGGATTATCTTGGCAAAGGAGAAATGCTCACTACAGGGATGTAAACAAATTTGTGCACAATATTTGAGAGAGAAATATGCATTTTGTTCATATGGAAAATTTCTGGGATCTTTTATTTCAGCTCATGAAACATAGGACCAACACTTTACATGTTGTGTTTATATTTTTGTTCAGTGTATATAATATTATCAAAGATGGTGGTTAAATTAATATGCGCAAGTTTCAAGGGGTCAGAAGTCTTTGTGTTGTGATTATGTATGGCCAGATAGTTGGTAACAAGAGCTAGGTTTCCATCCAATTGGCGAAAGATTTTCATGCGAATATTCTAAAATCTGCATAAAGAAAAATTCGATTTTTCCCACCAGTGATGTGTTTCCACCAAACTGATTTGTTGCTGATAGAAATCAGTGCTTGATGACATAGTGTACCCAAAATGTTCAATTTGTTTCCATCTCATTTTCAACTCTACCGATAGTTTTGTCACAAACCCGGTTGTGTTAAATAGCAAATGTGCCAACTCTGGTTTTACGTGCGCTCTAGCCAACAGCTCGCAGATAAAGTGCAGGTAGGCTAGTCTACATGATCATCTTATTATGGATAAGAGCGAGAATATTTTTTATTTGTCAAAAAGCAATCAAGCATCCATCATCATGTCACCAGAATAAGACCCTCGATATGTATTGGAAATGAGCATCAAACTCATCACCACCCCAATTTATATAATCTGCAGCCTAATAAACTGCATGGTTTCCAGAGTCGCAGTGGGAGGACCACACACCATACCATCACGTGACTCCAAGTTTACCTCAATATGATGGTTATTATATCAATATTTGCGCATAAAGGCGTTTCCACCACCATTTCTCACATAATTAATTACCGACACAAAAAGAACCCACCATGTCGAAAGAACAAATTATCTGTCGGCATTTATAACATTTTACCGAAACTTCCTGTTTCAATCACCGCTGTCATTATTATTTTTTTTTAACTGGATGGAAACGTGGTTAATGACAAGAAGCTACCATGTGCGGAATCGTAGGTGGATCGTTTTAGCTAGTTAGGGGTTCAAGCAGCGAAGCTGGTGAAACCCTATTGTTTTTGTTCTGGTTCATTCTTTGTATTATTCCTCTGTAAGGCCAAAATTCACATGCACATTTTCGTGAGATGGTAAGACACAGGAGGGTGCAACCTGGCATGATGATAAACGGCCAAAGGCCACACCCTCCCATGCAATACCATGACAATTGGCCACATGGTGGCGCTATAACAAGCGATTGAAAATGCAAACTTTGAAAGGTCATGCTCCTCACCCTGTGTGACCTAGTCATGAAATGTGTTACATACTGTAGGTCCATCTCCTCACAAGGAACAAATTTGCCTCAAGAACCCATAAGATCCGCTATGAAGGATTTTCCAACATTTAGAATTTTGTGAAAAACAGTTGAAACGCTACTCCTTTGCCACCGAATGACCGATCTTCACGAAACTTGATATATGACATCTATGGACCAAAATCTGTAAACACACTGTAATCCAGGAAAGTATGTCAAACAACATGACCAATAAACATTCACGTGGGCGCGGTCTGTCGCATATACTGTAAATCAGTCACGGATATTCGTATTGTAACGAAATTTGGTACACATGTTCCAAACACCTTAAAGACTCAACATATGCAAGCACATTCATATCGACCACACGGTGGGCACATTTTTATATCTCTTGATCTGTTTGACTCAGAGTGATGAAATTTGTCACAAATGCTCAAGGATGTGAGCTAACCTGTAAAATATGGTTGAGTTTGGCCACATTGTGACGCTGTTGGACAGGAAAAAACTCATTCAAACTCATTGGTTCATAGCAGCCATATTGTTTCAGCTAGAGTCTTGGACAATAGTGTGTTTAAAGATGTTCATCCATAGATGCTATATACCAAATTTGGTGCCGATCGGTCAAGCGATTCTGGAGAAGACGTTTAAAGTAGTCAACATTGAAAATGGTCCAAAATACATCAAAGGCATATTATTTTGCAGGGTCAGTTTGATTTTGAGTTCTGATGTATCTTTTGGATGTTGAGTTCTGATATTTGGCAAGTGTGGTAAACAGTACAGAAGTAGCTCATCCTAGGGCAATATGTTCAATTTGTCAGCTTTAATTATTATTAGGTTCAAATTCCCGTGAGATAATAAGGCGCTAGGAGGATACGCTCTGGATAAGAGCGTCTGCTAAATGACTAAAATGTAAATGTAATACACATTTGCATGATGGTAAATGGCCATGGACCACACCGTCTCATGCAATGTCATGCCAATTGGCCACATGGTGGCACTATAACAAACAATTTAAAATGGAAATGTTGAAAGTTCACACCAATCACCCTGTTTGAGCTTGAATCATGAAATTTGGTACATAGGTCATTCTCACAAGGAACACATTTGCCTGAAGAACCCATAAAGTCCACCATGAAAGATTTTCCGCCACTTAAAATGCTACACTTCTGGCACAGAATGACTGATCTGCACGAAACTATATATGTGGCATCTATGGACCAAGGTCTCTCAATGCAATATTTTCCAGACTTATACCAAAAACAACATGGCCGTTATTGACCAGTTAACATTAATGTGGGTGTGGTCTCGCACATAAATGCCTATAGTCACGTTTGGTACACATGTTGCAAACACTGTCAACACTCAACATATGCAAGCACCTTTATATCGACCACACGGATGCGCTATAACGGGCACATGTTTATATTTCTGTTTGACTCAAGAGTGATGAAATTTGGTACACATGCTCAATGATCTGACTCTAGCTAACTTGTAAAGTGTGGTTGAGTTTGGCCACATTGTGGCGCTGTTGGACAGGAAAACCCATTCATGCAAATTCATTGGCTCATAGAGGCCACATTGTTTTAGCTAGACTCTTGGAGAATGCGTTTGAAGGTGTTCATCCATAGATACTATATACCAACTTTGGTGCCGATCAGTCAAGCGGTTCTGGAGAAGAAGACGTTTAAAGTAGTCAACTTCATTAAAAATAGTCCAAAATTGTA